ACTTCTGAAATAAACAAATTGGTGATTTTTTTCACAAAAGCAATCAACTTTTTAAACAGAGAAAAATAATCCTCCTATAATAAAAATGTGAATCTGGCAGTGTTAATGATTTTAGAATTATAATTTGTGTAAGAATGAAAATGAAATAAATGCGAATGAGGAAGTAAGGATTAATATGATGCAACTTACAAGGCTATGCTAACTGATTCCACAAATATGAATGCAGACTGTGCAGAGAGCAATCTTTGAAGACTCTGCGTTTCATAAATATGGCATTAAAATGATTTTGTGTGTGTGCATGTGTGTGCCATGTAACATATGCATTTTATAACTCTGCTCCTTGACTATATGCTACAGATATGCAGTTGCTATAGTCAACCAGAAATGTCTTCTCGGAAATGGTGGGAAACAAGTTAGACCAGGGGTCCCCAAACTCTTCAGCTCATTGACCCCTTCATGAAGTTTCATATTGTTCATTGACCCCCAAACATTATATGAAAATAATGTATTAAATACTACTTTAACTAATAGCACTATGAATAGCAATAACAACAAAAATAATGTGTAGTGCCACTGACCCTTGGGGTCAATGTTGACCACTTTGCAGAACCCTGGTTTAGACCAACAATTAGTTTTCTGAAAAGAAAATATTATAGAAATTCAATTTTAAAGGATGAACCAACTGAACCTTTGAAGTAACTTTACTGAATCAAAAAAGAAAACGGAATCAAATCAACAAATGTGAAACTTGTATCCATTAAACAGAAATTGTGGTAGTGTTCTTCATGTTGCTACAGTTCAGTATTTCAAATTATTATCCAATCAACATTGTGAAATTGGACTGTGAGTATGAAAGCTGGGGAAAACCCATCTCCAGTAAACAAAGGCCAGTGTTTTCTTACAAAAAACACATAAGAAAATAGAGAAGTATGCAGAAAAGTAAGTATTTTAGAAAAGCACACTCGGAGGGCGGAACTGACGTCGCGGCGATACGGCGGACGATCCTGGGCTCCCAGGATCGCAGCCAATATCTCCCCCCCCCAGATGGTCCCGATGGACCTAAGCCGTCCCGTAGAGATGACGATCGCAAAGGGCGCATCCTGTGGATCTCAGGGACACTGCAAGTCCCAGATTGATCCCAGGAGAAGCTCTTGAAGCC